GGGCCCCGCCGCAGCCGGCCTGCTGTGGGCTGGGGGGCGCGCCCCGAGGTCCCCCGACACTCCCTGGGCCTTGGCTTTTTTCTATTAGGGAGGCAGAAACTGCCACTCCAGGAAAATAATTGCAGACTATTGACAGCGTGAAAACTTTTCGGAAGCGCTGATCTGTGAAATATTTTAACTTTGATCCATGGCTGCCCACGAGGGCGCCCACTGGGTGCAGGACGACCGGGCTCCCCGCCCTGTGCGGGGCTCGCGGCTGCAGGGGGGCCGCCGCTCCGCCCGCCCTCGGTCCGGATCTTAGGGCAGATTTTTAGAAGGCGTGTCCCACGGTCATGCGGGGATTTCAGTTACGGAAATGAGTTACCCGGACGCTCGCGCTGCTCAGCTGCTGAGGGCGAAAGCGCTTTGCTGAAGGATGGGGCAGAGCTTACAAAATGTCAGTGCGCGGAGCGTGGGGGGTGGGGTCTCCCTCTCTCTCGTGCTTTAGCTTTACTGTTTTATTTTTCGTTCATGCTTAAATCGTAGTGTTGGGGTGGTGCACTTAAAACTACACGGCGGCTTGCCTGGGAGCGAATGTGGCCCACAGGCCTGCCCTGCGCGGAGGCTGCTGCGAGGGGCAGCGGGAAGCCTGAGCGCGAGCCTGCGGACGGCTGTGCCTTCCTGTTTCTAACTGTTCATACTGAAAGGCGAAACGATCATTTCCAATGAAAAGCATGATGATCCGAGCTATGGCTAAGTCTTCCCCCAAATAACTTCACCAGAAATTGTTTTGCATTTTAACTAATCATGATGGTTATTTTTAAAATATTTAATTTTAAAATATTTAATTTTTTTCTGCTTATAAAAGGTAGAATATGCAGAAGTGGGAAAGTAGTTATCCTTAACAATAACACTTAGGTTCTGTTTGCTAAGGCCTAGTTTTGCACAGAAGCCTAGTCATTTGAAAACTTTTGAGCTATGGACATTTCAGAAAACTGCTAACAAACCTGGTTAGGCACGAAAACTCATAATTGACAAGGAAATAAATTTGCACTTTAAAAAAATGTTATAACCAACAATACCTTACTCATATGGTTTCATGACACAGAATTTATTGTGGCAATTTCTCCCGAATCAACTTCCCACATCTGCGCCTGACAAATGGTTTCTGTTTGCATAGCCTGTTTTGTAAATACATCTCTCTGCCATTTGAGGCAAAGAGCCCAAGCACATGCATACCCTTCCCAGTGCTTGTAGCTAGGCTCACAGACTTAATATTTTTATTGGTTTCTACATCAGAACTTCCGCATCATACGCTTGATAAAACCCTGGAGAAGGTTACCAAGGGATGTTGTAGAGAATTCACTTCCCTGGAGATTTTAAGAACAGGATAAACATCCATCTGCCTAGGACGGCTTCAGTGCGTTGCTGCCTAGATAAAGGAACACTGGGTCACCTCTCGGAACCCAAATGGAGGAATTCTAAACTTATTTCAGTCCTCAGTAACCTGGGGCCAAAGAAAATAACAGTTGCCCCAAAGCACCCGAGTCCAGGATGAGGCAGAGCCCTGTTTTGATTTATGTAAAACAGATTTTTTTTTTCTGAGAAAGATTTAAAATTACCCCTAGGACTTGTCATTCCTTTTCTGTTTATGAGTAGACTATCGATACTGATTCAGTTATTTTCCAAGAAGCTATAGGTTAAATACCGTGTAAGTTCTGTGATTTAAAGTAAACGAATGCATTGTGTCATGGGAATTAGACGTTCTGCCTCAAAGGCAGGAAGGGGTGTGTTGTGCTAAACCTCTGAGCTCAGGATGGTATGCCCGAGACCTTTCTCCACTTTGGACCCCATGTTTTTATTATCCTGTTCTGTGTGTTGAACCTGGTTACATTTTCACACTAACATTTTACATTCTCCTCAAAATGTTTTCTTGACTCTTCATTTTCAGTGTAGAAACCGTGTGGCACTTTTACTTAAACCAAGTATCTCTGTAACTTCTGTTCCCCTGGGCTCCAGCAGGGCTGCGGCTTTGCTGGCTTCTTTCAGAAGGTCAGGATTTCATGGCTTGCTGCTTCCTCTGCCCTCCCGTTTGACAGAAGTATCCTGTAATTCTAACCACTGTGTGACCTCAATTGCAGTGACACCTTCCTCCCTTTCCATAGTGTCACTTGAGCAGGAGCAGCCACCCCTCTTTCTTCCTGCTGGATCACTGTGAGGGGGCTCACTTTCTAGGAAAGGTCATGTCAAAAAGAAGATGGGAAGTCAGGAGTCTCCCGGCTGGGCGGTTTTTCATCTTGCTTGAATGAATGAGCAGTGCCACCGCACACCCTCCAGCTTGTCATGTTTTTCCATGCATACCAAGCATGTTTTCTTACGCTGCAGTAACGCCTAAAGAACGAACAGGAATACGGTATGAACATTGGTCATTCATTTGTTCAGCAAACATTTACTATGTGGGAGGCAGCCCAGGAACTGGAAGTGGGTTCTTCGCCCTCAGGGAACTTGTCAGATGAGAGGAGAAATCAGACATGTTAATAAGCTAGGCCATTTCTGAGGGAGCAGAGCACAGAGTTAAGAACTTAGGTTTCTTGTAAGTTAAATATATACCAGCACCAACCCCATGACCCGACATTTCGACACCTAGATATTTACCCAAGGTAGACGAAAACAGATGTCCACAAAATGACTCGTAAAGAATGTTCATGACAACATTACCCATAACTGTCAGCAACGGGAAACAACCCCAAGTTCATCAACAGGAAAATGGATAAACTGTGGAACATCCTCACAATGGAATACTACTCAGTAATCACAAGGAACGGCCTCGTGCCCTAGACGGTTTGGTTCGGTGGTTAGTGTCGGACCGCGGACTGAAGGGTCCTGGGTTCAGTTCCAGCCAAGGGCACGTACCTGGGTCGTAGGCTCCATCCCCAGCCCCTGTCAGGGGTGTGCAGGAGGCAACCAATCGATGTCTCCCTCTCACATCGATGTTTCTCTCTCTCTTCCTTCCACTCTCTCTGAAAAACAATGGAAAAAATGTCCTCAGGTGAGGGTTAAAAAAAAGGAATGAACTCATGATACACACAACCACGGGGTGAATCTCAGAACCATTCCGTTAAACCGAAAGAAGCTAGACACAAAAGAATACAGAAGCGGTTCTGTCATGAAGTTACTAGAATGCAGAACGGACCTGTGACACCAGAAGTTAGTGCTTGCCTCTGGGGTGGGAGGATTGCCTGGAAAGAGGAAAGAGGAGATTTCTCTGGAGTGATGGAAATGTTTGATGTCTCCTTTTTTTGAGTGATGGTTATATGACTATCCACAAAGATCAAAATCCATTGAACCAGACACTTAAGACTTACACATTTTATTGTATGCAACGCATTGGTTCAATTAGAAGAACAACTTAGGTTCTAGAGATAGACAAGGGTACACATCCCTTCTCTGTCTCTAGGGGTATATTACCTTGAGCAAGTTGTTAAATGCCTATGAGCCTGAAAGCATTGGACAATAATAAAATATCTCCTTCATAGGGTTATT